TGCCAGTCTTGGCGGGTCCGCAGGGCTTGGGGCTGCCCCCGTGCCTCCCCGAGTCGGGCGAGGCGCCCCGCACTCAGTTCTAGACCTCCGGGTCTTAAGTGGGTTGGTGGAAATGTTTTTTATTTGTGCCGAAGCCGCCGTGAAGTGAAAACTCAAAAGATAACGGTGTCCCCCAAAGGTCAAGCGCAGAAGCTTTGGCTGGAACCCCAGAAGGCGGGACTCAGGCTCAGGCCCCGCAACGTCTTGGTGTCTAACACTGGTGACATGAATGGCAGTGTAGTGGGTTTCTCTACATTCACTGTCCTGCAGAGAATGCCGAACACTCCAGTTTGTATAACTCTGAATTAAAAGACTTGGCTTCTAAAGAAGATTCTGGCTTCATTTTCCTCCGCATTAAAAGAAAAAGAGAAAGAGTAGTGGGTACTTCATGAAACCCCAAGATGATCAGTTCTGGCGGAGAACTGACCTCCGCTTTATTCCAATAAAGTGCGGTGCAGCTGGAACTCCAAACGTCCATCTCCCTGGGGAGAAAGAAGGAAGACTGGGAGGGCCTGGAAGTGTTGACTCGGGGCCAGCAAAGTCTTATGAATAGAAACACTAACGGTCCAGTCATCTCGCTTTGTAAGCAGTAAGAGCTTGCCAGGGCGTGACAGTGCTGTTTGGTTTAAAGGAAGTTTTGGGAGTTTGTGTTTTGTTAAAACATTTTTATCTTAAAACAAAAACTAGTCCCCTGCCTTCCTTAAATTGTGAGGTGGAATACAGATTTCTTCTGTCCCGCAATGAGCACACTGATATGATAGATTGCTGCCGATAAAAGGCAGGAAATCAGGCAAAGTGCAGGGCAGTGAGGGCCAGGAGTTCTAAGAGAGTCATGAGAGCAAACGCACGGATGCTGGATTCTTGGCGGCCCTCGCTGGATAGCTACAGGCAGCACCAAGGGTGGCCTCATACAGGAAGAAGTTTTGACTTTTACCACTTCCTCAGATTAGTTAGGGAGAAAGTTGTAAATGGCTGTGAAGGAAAAGAAAAAAGCAAGCCATCAAAACAATAACAGGTTGTAGGAGTCAACAGAGACAGCCACCAATGGAATAAATGTTGACAACTATGGCTGTGCTATTATTCACACTGACACTGGCTGTTTCAAAAACAGTGTCTATGTGTCAATATATATTTATTTTACCTCCATAGTATTTCTGATTTTTTAAATCAATTTTGCATAAGTCTGTTCATACAAAGCTATAGTACACAACAATGTGTTAAAGTGAAATCCATTAACATGTACATATCTAGGACAAGTGATAAAAACTATGTTTAATATTAAATTATTTTTTGAAAAATCTATATCCAAATGTTTCTGTATGTTCTGTTCCCTTTCTTGGTTGTATATTAAAGTGGCAAAGTTATTAAGAAACTACAGTACAAAGAAAGAAAGTAACATCATGCTTTTAAGAGGTAGATAGATTTCTATATTAGGATTCAACTTGATAAAGTTAGGTATGTGACATCCCCTCCACCTTAGATTGTAAGTTCTCCCTAAGATGGGAGAATGTCACATGAACATAGAGTGGAGTGCAGTCTCTGAGAAGTATGTGTAGTATTTGGAGAGGTGACTCCCCCCACATTGGTGTGACACATATTTTCAGCAGAATGGATTTGTCAGTTCTTCATCTCAGTGTCTGGTTCAACATGTCTTAGCTGTGGATGGCCTAAATTAAAGGTGCAATGACAGAGTACAAGCAGAGAAACTCATCTGAGGGTTCAGCCCACCTTGATTTGACTGCAACAGGAATTAAAGCCGGACATATAATAAAGATCCCAGAAATTCAGCACAAGAGCAGCATATTAAAAGTCGCTAGAGAAAAGAAATAGATCACATTTAAAGGAATACTCATCAGGATAACAGCAGATTTTTCCTCACAAAGCATCAAGTCAAGAAGAGCATGGAGCAAAGTACTTCAAGTTCTACAAGAAAACAGATTCTAACTCAGACTGATATACACTACAAAACTATCTTTCAATTTTAATAGGGAAGTGAAATACTTCCATGACAAAGAACGACTAAAGAAATTCATGATAACCAAACCAACCCCACCCAGAGTACTAAAAGACATTCTAGAAAGAAAACAAAATGTGCACAATTCCATGATGACAACAGAAAGAACCCATAAAACATGGCAAACTATTAAACACGGGAGAAAAAGAGGGAACCAATAGCAGGAAAATAACATGACAAACATAGGTCAATATATGTCAATTATGACCACTAATGTAAACAGATTCAATTCACCAATGAAAAGAAATAGACTGGCAAAGTGGATTAAGAAACAAAATCCAACAATACACTGTACACAAGAAACACACTTAACCCTTAAAGAAATTTGAAGGTTGTGAGGCCAGCCAGAGAGTTCAGATCAAAAAGGTAGGTCAAACAGACCAAAAATTAGCAAATAAGTAGCAGAACTGAGCCAAACCTTTGAACAAATGTAATTAGTGAACATATACAGAATGTTCTACCCAACAACATCTGAATACACATTATTTTCAGCTGCACATGGAACGTTTTCTAAAATAAACCACATATGAGTCCATAGATCATGCTTAAATATATGCAAGAAAACAGAAATTATTCCATGCATATTATCTGACCACAGTGAAATTAAACTGAAAATTAACAACAAAAGAAACCACAAAACCCCCCATAAATATATAGAAATTAAATAACCACCTTAGCAACTAATGTGCTACAGACAAAACTAAAGGAGAAATTAAACAATATTTACAATCCAACAAAGATTCAAACATAACTTACTGAAATTTGTGGGATGCAATGAAAGCAGTTCTCAGAGGGAAATTTATAGCAGTGAACTCACACATGAGGAAAACAGAGCAAGTACAAATAAATACCCGATTGCTGCACCTCAAGCTTCTACAAAAAAGAAAGCCAATGAAGCCAAAGCTAAAATGCAAGAGGAAATTATAAAGATTAGAGCAGAAATTAATGCAATTGAGACGAATAAAACAATACAAAGAATTAATGAATCCAAGAGCTGGTTCTTTGAAAGATTAAATAAAATTGATAGTCTTAAGCAACCTCCTCAAAAAGGGGAAAGAAAAAAAACTCAAATTCAAGCAATAAGAAATAAAAAGGGAGACAATGCTACAGATTTTGTGGTAATTCAGAAGAGCGCAATAGCTATTTTGAAAATCTTTACTCTCTCAGGATCAAAGACAGAAAAAATGAACAGATTCCTAGAAAGATACAAATTACCAAAACTGAATCAAGAAGATATAAAAACTCTGAAACACCCAATATCAGCCAATGAAATTGAAAATATAATAAAAAAAAAAGTTACCAACAAAGGAAAGACCAGGCCAGATGGATTCACAGCTGAATTCTACAAGAAATTTAGAGAAGATTTAATCCCAATACTCCTCAAACTCTTCAATGAAATTGAAAAGAAAGCAATTTTCCCAAAATCATTCCTGGAGGCAAGTATTATACTGATCCCAAAACTGGAGAAAGATCCAACCAAAAAAGAGAGGTAGAGACCAATTTCCTTCATGAACATAAATGCAAAAATCCTCAATAAGATCATAGCAAACAGAATGCAGCAAATCATCAAGAAGATTATGCACCATGACCAGGTAGGATTCATCCCAGGGATGCAAGGATGGTTCATCGCATGCAAATTTATAAATGTAATACACTATATCAATAAAGCCAAAATCAAAAACCACATGACAATAGATGCAGAAAAGGCTTCTGACAAAGTCTAACACTCATTCATGATCAAAGCCCTACAGAAAATTGGAGTATATGGTCTCTACCTCAACCTGATAAAAGCCACCCATGACAAACCAATAGCCAACATAATCCTAAATGGAGAAAAACTGAAAGTTTTTACTCTAAAATCAAGTACAAGACAAGGATGCCCTCTGTCACCACTCCTATTCAATATAATTCTGGAATCTTTAACTAGAGCTGTTAGGCAAGAGAGAAATAGAAGGAATAAGAATAGGTAAAGAAGAAGTTAAATTATCATTATTTGCAAATGACATCATACTGTATTGGAAGACCCACAAAACTCCATCAAGAAACTCCTAGAATTAATAAACAAATTCAGTAGCATAGCAGAATACAAAGTCAAAACCCAAAAGTCGTTAGCATTCCTCTACATAGATATCAAACTCACTGAGAGATAAATTAGAGAAACAAAACCCTCCACAATAACATTCAAAAAATGAAATACTTAGGAAATAACCTAACAAATGAAGTAAAATAGCTACACAGTGAAAATTACAACCCTCTAAAAAAAGAGATTGTAGAGGATTTCAGAAAATGAAAAGATAGTCCTTGCTCCTGGATAGGAAGAACTAACATTGTGAAAATAGCCATACTTCCAAAGTTGTTATACATATTTAATTCAATCCTTATCAAAATATCACCAACATACTTCACAGATCTAGAGAAAATATTATTTAAATTTATTTGAAAACAGAA